CATGTCTAACGCATGTAAGTGTGTTCCACGTTGTGTAGACGTTCGTAATTTGATTTAAGCGTCTGTGCAGTCACATTGACTCGCATTGAAGAGTATACAAATTAACTCGGTTTTAAAAATATTTCACCATGGTTTCTGTAATTGTAATAGGTAACTGGCAGCGATAGACATAATCAAAGAACACTGAGTAAAACTACCAAATCACTGCAATCGATAGAGAATCCCTCTTTCTGTCTCTGGAATACTGATTCAAATCACTTCCATTTTCACTTAATGAAGGGACATTCCCTTTAATTTGAACATAAGATTGTCATGTAAGGGACAAATTATCAGGGAATGAAGCTTGTTAGAAATAAAGGTGTGCAAAGAAACCCCCGATTTTTCCTTTCGTATTGTGGCATGTTTAACTTGAACTTCAACTGATAAATTTGGAAAATGAACTGATCGCTGAAGCGCTCGGCAAAGACAAATAATATTTTCCTTTGTGTTATTTTTCAGCAATGGAGGTTCCTCAAGGCAAGAGAGATCAAGATCGAAAACAAGACAGCTCTCCAGGTTTGAAAACACTTAATGTGAACATTAGCAGTTTTCTACTATGGAATCTTTCTTGCTTAGACTAGAGCTACATATTTGCAAGTTAACTGTAAATAAAGATCATGACCTTAAATTTTGTTTGAAAGCAAAACTAATACAACGACTCGAAGTGTGCTGCAAATATTGCATGGTTTTCAGAGCTGTTAGTTAGAGCCTAACCGGAAAAAAGACTGCGGGTTAGTCTGCCATTTTTAGGTGGATACTTTCACCTTATTTTCCTTAAAGTGATGCATCATTGGTCAGTATCAGGTTTATAACCCATTCAGAACAAAACTTAAACATGTTTCAAAGATGTTTTGTCAAACACAGTTTGAACTATTTTCCTTTAAAGGATCTAGCTTTCGCTTTTAATCTGAGTGTAGCGTTACAAGATAACGTACAAATTTACGTCCGATTTAGATTTTAAGTTCTCTGTTTCTAATTTACATTCGGTTAAGCCCGGTTTAAAGGAAGTTTATTCAAAAGAAGGTTGCTTAAAAGAAGTTTATTTTGCTACGCAAAATATAGAAAGGTGTTGAATTGAAATCTGTAATTGGTGAAATGAACTCAAAATCTGTAAATCTGTAATTTCCGAGTTTGCGAAATTGAAAAACAAGAGGTGGAGAAATCTTATGGCCATTAGCCGGATGAATTTTTCAACACTTATTAGAAATATTTCTTTTATTATGGATCTATCCTCGCTTAGAACTGATTGCCAACGGACATTAAAAGTTAAAGTATTAATTCATTCCACACATTTAAACAAATGCTTTCAGCCTTTTATAATTTAAAAGCTATTTTTTATAATCCTCCAAACAGGGGAGTGTAAGTTCAGAGAAATGGGAATGGGGGGGAGGGGGGTGGGGCGATACGTTTTAAACTTAATTTTGTTGAAAATACTCAGCTTTTCATTAAAATTAAAATTTGAGTTCATTTACTTTGATTTAATTTGTCTTTTACGTATACACGTTTGCAACGAATTAGATGAATTAAAGTTCAACCGAACATGTTTTGCTGATGTGAATGGGCTATAAGATGTATGAACCTATTCCCAGTTTACAAGTTGCATTGAGGTTCGTGCAGTATTCCAAGGATGCGCGGGAAACTGAATAGAACCCAGTCTTGCACGTTCACGATGACCTGGCTGCTCACTGTTTCTTACTGCCTTCATCATTTAAACCTCTTTACGGCTCTCGGGTCTATTGAGACCTATGTTAGGATATGTTTTTTTAGGTTATGGTGCTCTGTAGATTGTAGAAGGAGGGGGAAACACAGCATTTGTTATGACTGATCTTCGAACTATGACGGGCGAGTTTAACATAATTTTTTCACTTCAATATCAATATTTTATGTAGAAAGCTCAACGGCCGATAATAAGGCATAACCTAAAGGCTGGTTTTCATTTACAATGGAGTCGGAGTCGTTATTGAGAAGTGCAGATTAATACAATCAAGTTGAAATCAAGCTGGTTTGATCTTCCGCTTCTGCCTTCAATGAAGTTTTTCACTGATCATAAGCATCGGAGTCCAAAGCACAATCAGAAGAAAATGAAGCCGTTCTGATTCTTCCCACAGGACGAAATATCAAGAATCCGTAAACGGAAACGTGGAAGAAATATGTGAAACCATTGCGGAAACACGCCGCTGTCGGTTTGGTGACGTCTACTCGTGTTTCCGTTGCTGTGGTCACAGTGGAACCGTACCACTTTTTTACATGTTTCCGTCAGGTTTCAGTTGGCGGAAACAAACATTTCCGAAAGTGTAACTTCATGTTAACATGAGCGGAAACACATTGTAAAGTTGCAGAAACATTAATTTTTTTATATTTCCGTCGACGTAATCAGACCTAAACGTTCACGGAAATGCAAGGTTACGTTCCGGAAACACGTTTTTCTCTTGTTTCCGTTGATGTAATTAGACAGAATGTCGACGGAAATACTAGGTTACTTTTCGGAAACAGATTTTTGTCTTATTTCTGCTGACGAATTCAGACCTAGAGGGGACGGAAACACTAGATTTTGTTCCAGAAACACTTTTTTTTCTTGTTTCCTTTATATATCGGACTCTTTCAGCACTCGTTATTCTTGATCTTCCTTTTCCATTGCAGGACAGGTAAATATGTTGTGATCGTGCGGTTTTGTATGACCCATACCAGACTTTTACCGTCCGTTTGTGAAATCTATGCTCCACTATGTAAAATCACATACACAAGAGCTATATTTTCTTTACAGCTTCAATAAATTTATGTTATTCTTCTTCTTTTCTTCAATCAATCGACCGGTAACAATTTTTATTATTTAAAAAGTACGTTTATATTCGCTTCTCGTCCTTGTCATTTAAACATAACATGCCTGAAATTCCTTACTTAACAAATGAACATCAAGAAAAAATTACAGTATGTATGAAATGTCAAATGTTCTGAAAATGTATAGAATGGGCCAGTAACCTCAAAATAATGATCATAATTTAATCGCGGATCGGTTCCAGTGCTCCAATGTTTCAATTGACTCAACGGTCTCAAATGTCGACCCACATTGACTCAAACTGTTCCAGCGATCCAATTATCTCGAATGACCCAACTGCCTCAAATGACCAAATTGATTTCAGTGAACCAACAGCCTGACATGACCCAATCGGCTGACAAAGAATAGCAGTGAGTAAAGAGCGATGAAGGTTTGTAAAAAACAGGGTGTGAAGATTCATAAAGATAATTGGAGAGGCGGAAAGACTAGCTGTACATAAAGACCGTTTAAGGTCTGTAAAGAACGGTGCGTAAAGATTCGTTAAGAAAATCAAAACGCGTAAAGGTTATCTCTGCGTAAAGGCCGTTAGAGGTCCGTAAAGAACAGTTTGTTAAGAATGGTAAAGATATTGAAAGACGCGTAAAGCCTAACTGTGGGTTAAGAGAGCTAGAGGTCCGCATATAACAGTGGGTAAATATGAGAACAATTAAAAGTCTGTAAAGAACAGTGCGTAAAGATTCGTAAAGAGAATTAAAGACGCATAAAGACTAGCTAGCTGTGCGTAAAGAGCGTTAAAGGTCCGTCAATTACAGTGCGCAAAAAGTCCTAAAGAAACTTAATAGTTTTACGAAGAAACATCCAATTGCAAATCACTCGGTAATTCACTGATGACTGATAAGACACATTTATTTCACATATTTTGGTAGTTCTTTCAATATTGATCTGTGAACTATAACCATCCCAATCTACGCCCTTTAGGCGCCTTTAATATTAACTACAGAGTCGGCTTTGCGCAGTCTCTGCGCCAAAGCATGCTTACGGGACACGGAATTTGTTTTTTACGCAAGAAATGAAGAAAAGTAAAGTGGCGATTTCATGCTGCGTTATAATATTAATTTTATTACTTTGCAAGCCGTATCATCAGTCGGAGTTACTAATTCATATACAAACTTTCTCACGATAGTTGTTCTGAAAATCCATATTTAGAATTTCATTGATATGGAAGTGCAATTTCCTAACGTTTCAATTTCGTCAAAATAGTAAAAACCATGCACAAAACCATGATCGGTTTGTTTTCATTGCAAAGATTCAACAAGGATATCAAAAATTCCGTCGCAGAAACATAACGGAAACGAACAACAGCGGAAACGTCCTGACTTAAATATGACGGTAACATGAATTGAAATTTCCATTCCGGAAACATGACGGAAACTGGATAGAATCGCCAAGACTTGCCATAATACGTTTCCGCAAAACGTAAATGTAGCGGAAACATGAAGCTATATGTTTCCGTCACATTTAAGAAATCTGGAAACAAGGGATTTCGTCCTGTGTCCGACCGTTGAGCTTATGACTCCGCTCATGACTCCGATTTTTAGTTTTCACCCAGTCGGAAGTGCCCTTACGACTCCAACTACAACTCCGACTCCGTTGCTAGTGGAAACCAGCCCTTAAGACATTTTGAAGAGAAGGATATCCCGAAAAGATTATTGGTTTTTTGTTTTTTGTTTTTAATAGTTTAAGGATAAACTGTGGGTAAGGACCGGAAAAGCATTTGCAATAACACTCATCCAGGGTCAAATTCATCCACACATTTCTCAAGTCTCCAATCAAATAAGCTATTTGTTTAATAAAAACATTATTTACATTGAATTGTACGGATATTTTGAATAAGACTAAAGGCAGAAAGGTGAATGCAAATGAGGATCTTTATTTTGAATGAAGGAAGGAACTTTTTGTGCTTTTATGATCGCTGGATTGTCTCTATTTTTTTTCTCACAAAAACTGTTTTTTCTTTTTTTCATATTGGAGGGTAGGTGAAAATTTGCAAAATACCGAAAAGTTGAGACCCAACAACAAAGCTGGAGAGGGAGAGACTTTTAACAACCTTGGCAATGCCTATCAGAGCTTAGGCGATTTTCGTGAGGTCATTAAGTACCATGAGCATCACCTGCAAATTACAAAAGGATTGGGGGATAAAGCTGGAGAAGGACAGGCTTATGACATTCTTGGCATTGCCTATCTAAGCTTAGGCGATTTTCATAAGGCAATCGAGTACCATGAGTATTGTCTACAAATTGCAAAAGAAGTGGGGGACAAAGCGAGAGAAGGAGAGGCTTATGGAAATCTTGGCATTGCCTATTATAACTTAGGCAATTTTCGTAAGGCAATAGACTACCATGAGCGTCATCTACAAATTGCAAAAGAAGTGGGGGACAAAGATGGAGAAGGAGGAGCTTATGGAAATCTTGGCATTGCCTATGATAGCTTGGGCGATTTTCATAAAGCCATCCATTACCATGGGCATCAACTACAAATTACAAAAGAGGTGGGCGATAAAGCTAAAGAAGGAAAGGTTTATGGAAATCTTGGCAACGCCTATAGGCAGTTAGGCAATTTCCATAAGGCCATCAGGTATGGTGAGCGTTACCTACAAATTGCAAAAGAAATGGAGGACAAAGCTGGAGAAGGACGGGCTTATGGAATTCTTGGCAATGCCTATGTCAGCTTAGGCGATTTATATAAGGCAATCGAGTACCATGAGTGTCATCTACAAATTGCAAAAGAAGTGGGGGATAAAGTTGGAGAAGGAGAGGCTTATGGAGGTCTTGGCAATGCCTATCAGAGCCTGAGTGATTTTCAGGAGGCAGTCGCGTATCATGAGCATCACCTACAAATTGCTAAAGAAGTGGGGGACAAAGCGGGAGAAGGAAAGGCGTATTGTAATCTTGGCAATGCCTATGAGAGCTTAGGCGATTTCCATAAGGCAATCGAGTACTATGAGCGTGACCTACAAATTGCAAAAGAAGTGGGGGACAAAGCTGGAGAAGGAGGGACATATGGAAATCTTGGCAATGCCTATGAGAGTTTAGGCGATTTTCACAGAGCAATCGAGTACCATGAGCATCGTCTACATATTGCGAAAGAGGTGGGGGATAAGGCTGGAGAAGGGCGAGCTTATGGAAATCTTGGCAATGCCTATCAGAGCTTAGGCGATTTTCGTAAGGCAATCAAGTACCATGAGCGTCGTCTACAAATTGCAAAAGAGGTGGGGGATAAAGCTGGAGAAGGACGGGCTTATGGAAATCTTGGCAATGCCTATCAGAGGTTAGGCGATTTTCATAAGGCAATCAAGTATCATGAGCATCGTCTACAAATTGCAAAAGAAGTGGGGGATAAAGATGGAGAAGGACAGGCTTATGGAAATCTTGGCGATACATATTTTATGCTTAACCACATCTCTAAAGATCGAGGTTCATTTTTGAAAGCCCGTGACTGCTTTAGTTTCAGTTTGTCAAAGTTCAATGAAATTCGGTCTCATCTCCGGTTTAAAGACGAGTGGAAAATTAGCTACCGCGATACGTATAATAGTGTATACAAGAATTTGTGGCGTCTCCATTTAAACCAAGGTGAAGTTAATGATGCCTTGCATGTTGCTGAGGATGGACGGGCGCAGGCTCTAAAAGACCTCATGGAAGAAAATTATGGGTGTCAAGACTTATACTCTTGGTTTCATTCCTCAGAAAAGTCAACTGGTTGCTCTCTTAGATCCATTCATTCGACAACAGTTTTCATAGCTCTCAATAGACAAGAAATAATTTTCTGGGTCATAAGGAAAGATGAAGAAGTCACCTTGAGGAGAAGAGAGGTAAGAGACTATGTTTCCGAAGAAGACGTGAGAACTTTCCTTTCGACTCTACACCATACCACCTTGGACGAAATTGGTGTACGTGCTGGCGTTAAAATCGAAAATCGCTCACTTGATGAGTCACGTGAGGTGGGGTGCAAGACTGACAGGGCCACTGTCAATATTTCTCGGCCTCTTTCACCACAGGAAAGCTTAAAGAGCTTTTTTGACCTCATCATTGCTCCTGTTGCTGACCTGGTTCATGGAAATGACCTCATTCTCATTCCAGAAGGTCCATTTTGTTTGGTACCCTATGCAGCACTGATGAACCCAAAACAGGAGTATCTGTGCGAGTCTCTAAAGATCAGATTGATTCCGTCCTTGACCACTTTGAAATTAATTACCGATTCTCCAGCTGACTTCCACAATAAGACAGGCGCCCTTCTCGTGGGAGATCCGTACCTAGAGGAAGTTCTCTATAAAGGGAGAAAGTTGTGTGAGCTGCCATATGCAAAGAAAGAAGTAGAGATGATTGGAAGAATCTTAGGAACAGTTCCCCTTATTGGAAAAATGGCGACTAAAGGAGAAGTCTTAAAGCGACTATCCACGGTTGCTTTAGTGCACATCGCCGCACATGGCGAAATGGATACAGGAGAAATTATTTTGGCCCCAAACCCTGCTGAGGAATCCCATCATCCTGAGGAGAAAGACTTTTTGTTGACGATGGCGGATGTGTTGGAAGCTAAGCTGCGGGCAAGGTTGGTTGTGTTGAGTTGCTGTCATAGTGCTCATGGAGAAATAAAGGCTGAAGGAGTGGTTGGTATATCTCGAGCATTTTTAGGTGCTGGGGCTCGGTCCGTTTTGGTGTCCCTCTGGGGAATTGATGACGAAGCTTCTTTCCGGTTCATGAAACATTTCTATAAAGAACTAGTTAAAGGAAGGAGGGTCAGTGAAGCTCTTAACCAAGCCATGAAATGTATGAGAGAGTCTGAAGAGTTCGGGGAAGTAAAGTACTGGGCACCATTTGTTCTCATTGGGGATGATGTCACTCTAGAGCTAAATGGAACTGATTCAGTCTAGTCGCCGCTGAATGTAAATATAACTTGTTTTGATATTTTCCTTTAATGTTCTTAATACTCTTAAAATGCTTAGTCTTGACGTCAAATTTTACACACTTCATTCATCTGCATTCTCTATTACAATATGTCTCGATTGCAAACCCACCCAAATGTCATTTCATTTCAAGCCACAGGTGTTATATTTGTGGACTGTTTCATACGAGATTTCGCGGCCGCCATTGTTTGCCTTTGCTCCAGAACCTGATTGCGATTTCATAGGAATGGGCGTTCAAGGATGAACGCAGAAAACTCACCTGACTAACTCTAATAAGGTGATAACGAGGTTCCCTACTTTATTCTGTACATCATATTCCCGTCAAGAAGATAACACAGCTTAGTCTTTTAGAGGCTTGAGACATTGTGGATAGAAATTGTTGAGTTTTCTAGCCACTGTATAAGCAGTACAAAATGTACTCGAGCCAACAAAAAAACAATCGATCATACAAGGAAAATGTAAAGAGGACAGTCAGAGTTTTAAACAAACTGCATGGTGATTTCCTTTATTTGTCAAAATACAAGAAGTTTCCAATGGTGTTGTTCTTTTTCTACCCATAGATGGCCGCTACCCGAAGAAGATAAATGAAAACTACAATAGTCATTGTCCGTCAGTTAAGATTAACATGGGAATGGATCTTGATGTGATAAAACCTTTCAGTGCCATGGCCGGTACTGTTCTGTATTTCAAACAGCATGAAATAACTCAAAATTTAGGAGTTTGGAAATGATCTGGCTCACTTTGCATAGCAAAAGATCAATGTTAGTAGGAAAAATTTTTTTTATCTGCTCATGTTTGACAAATCGTAACAAACCATAGTCACTGGTTGGATTTTATATGTTGTAACTTATCAAATTTGATAATCAACTTGATAGCATACATACACATGATTTAACCGTATAAATATATTGGTTTTGAATTTAATAACAAGTAAGAGTTTAGGTTTAAAAAATGTGGACACTACACAGGCAGCAGAGGGCCTAGCACCCTTACCCCCCCCTCCAGTAATTTTTTCAGAGCTCTTTAGTTGTGGTAACATGTGACTCAGTGCAACTTCATGCACCAAGTTGGATAAAATGCCTGGCTCTTTTTAATTAAACTCGAGTCTCTGTTCAAAGCAGTTCTGAAAAGTCGTGTTTTTAGTAAGGAAATCTGTGAAGCCACTGTAGGCCCTGAGTGTGGTTAGCTTTAGTGTCCTGTTTAATAAAGAAAGAGACCAGTCGTAAATCAGGGCATGAAAAAATTAGTTTACATTTTTCAGTCAGAAATGATAACATCGAAAGCTTCTCCCTCCGCACAGAGGTTGCAACTCAGCAGAATCAGATGCGAGGATGGGGAGCCAAACTTTATATAGTGTTAAAGAGTAAGATTACGGGATCTACTGAACTAATTTCAACTTATTAAATTTTAATTGGATTGGTATTTTGATTTTTAGGTTGTTATAGCTTACTTAGAATATTCCTGTATACTGTTTTCATCGGCAGGTGTTGTATAAGTTGACTGTTGATATCAAACAAGTAGTTGAATGATTGCTCATGTTTATTTTAGAATGCAAGTTACTATTTTATTAAAGGAAGTGCTTCGACTTCAGCATTGGCTTTTAAGTATAAACGCGGGGAATTATTGAATTGGAGTAGTTTAGAGATTTGTTTTTGGTATGGTTTTAGGGTACACGGAAATGACCTACTTCAAATTCATATGCATATGCTAGAACTGATTTGATTTTAAAGTACAATCTTCCCTTTTTGGAGGTACTTTTAATTAAGAAGCCGAGTCATTATTTTTGATATTCACTCATTTGACCTAATACCAGTCTTTCACAGGCTATTTCTTCCTGAAATTTTTATAATCACTGATTTAGTACCATGATCCGAAGTTTTGTGTTTTTTTTTGCTACTTTAACTCAAGCCATACCAAACCAATGTTTACAGCTAATAATAATTGTGGCTATTGTTTTACAGCTTGTAAAATGTTATTCCATCAGTGTGAATGGAATCACTTGCTAGTTTCCTGTTAATTCATGGAAAGTAGGCATTACTATCAGTTGGCCTTTCTCCAAATACGAACTGTTTACTCTTGTTGTAAATTACTGTCACGCAACTACCTTTAAACAGTGTTTCTGTAAACATATCAATGTTACAGTTACATGAATTTCCTTCAAGTTGTACCTAGTAATGTTTATATTGCTCACGTTCATTTATTTTGGCCTGGAGACCCGCGAAGGACAGCGAACCTTTTAACATGAAAAAGATTTTGACGATGTTTATTTGATGTTAGGTCTTTATGCTGATCATCTCTTTGGACAAGCGCAGTTTGGTTACAACCAACTGTGCAAGGCACTACGCAAGCATAAATTAATAACGGGTGATAGTTTGATGACCGACTACCAATCTCCTGTCAGTTCTAGCTTGGTCACCTTAAAAGAACGTGAGCAACATTCTCGTAGGCAGTGGAGCAGTTATCAGCTGAACAGTTGAGTTGTCAAGTTAAGCCTAACAAGTTGTATTACAATCCAAGCCATTAAACAAGTGTGAGTTTACAGTTGCAGTTTACGTTGTTTGGTAGTTCAGATAGTCCCAAACCAAAAGGCTTCTTAACAGTTAGCCATATATGTTTCCCAAAAGGACGTTCGGTGCCAATAAACGTTGAATCAGGTGGGTGTCGGTGGCTAATGGAGGATATTTACCGAATGCACCCTCTGATTGGCTACTCAAACGCCGTACAGCCTTTGCTATCTACCTCCAAGCAACTTGCGCTGGATTTGCCCACGAACATATTGTAATTGTTGCAGGAATAAATATCAACCACTAGCCACCTCCACTTTGGTGAAGAGTTGTTAGACGTTTGAAGTTTAATTCCCTGAAGTGCTTTGGATTGGATGAAGAAAAACAAAAACCAAAATAATCAAAAAGTGTTTTCAAGAAAGGGTATCCCTACAATTCTTTTTCTGAGCACTGCTCTTATTAATCATATCCCTGACAAATTACTTTATGGGCAAGTTATTTGAAACCTAGATGAAAGAGTAATATCGAAGGCATGTGAGGTTTGGTTTGTTAATTTATTTCTAATTGAGCAAACATAATACTCCTGATTGGCAAAGGTTTTTTCTCTTGGTAAAATAGTGATCATATGTGGTGGCTGCTTGAAATGAATTCTTCAGGAAAAAATTCGTCTTCAGATATTTTTTTTTATGTTTGTGCACGAATTAAAAAGACAAAAAGAGAAAATGTCAAATGATCAGCAAAAATGGATGGGCAAGTCAGATATATCTGTGATGACAGCTGATCACAGTGTAATAAAGGTGTGAAAGTGTCACCAGAGATCAGCTGCATATCAGCTGTTAGAGCATTATGGCAGTGTGATCTGCTGTAATATTTGTGTTAGACCCAAGGAGCTCCATTCAAAGGGATGCTCAGAGTGTAACCTGAAAAGAGATGTCTAGAACTCAACAAACATAGATTTTATTCTTCTGCCAGCCCTTTAAGAATTAGAGGTGAAATATCTACAGCAGTAACTGTGTTTGCTGCTGCACTTTGCTGCAGAAAGTAACCTCAATCTGTTCAAGAATTGTATTCTGCCGAGTCGAAATTTTGGCATTGGGCACTCTTTTGCCCTTACTGTGATTACTGAAAATAAAATACACAAAAAGATTCAAAGTAATAAATTAATTGGGACTGTGATGCTCTCCAACCTCAAAGTGTGTATTGTTTTTGTTTCTATTTTTCATTTAACATTTTCAAACCAAAACCAAAACAAAGGTCTTGCTGTTAAACCTTATTGATATTAGATTAATTAAGGCTCAATCAAAATTGTAAATTGTGCTGTCCATGACGAGAAAAAGATTACCATGTTCAAATTTGTCTCAGCTGGTCTCCTTTAATAGCTAACTACATTAAATCATGGTGTGGCCTTTTCACTCCCAGGATCAGAGGGCTAACTGATCACTCAACTGACAACCTTACAGTTTTTTTTTTTAGTAGTAGTGCTGAGAATAAGCTTAAGATTGTTTTAATGCTCAACCAAAAATCATTGTCAAGTTGTCTTTTTGAAGCCATGCTTAACTATTGCCAATATAAAGAAGCTCAAACAGAGCAAGCATTGTTTGTTTCTGTGGACTGGAATAACCCTCAAGATTTTGGAGAATCAGAACTACTAGTGTACAAAAATTTGGAGCCTGACAGAGCCTGAGTACCACCTAATTACCTTTCTTAGAGCCAGAGACTTTCTGACAGCAGATGAAAGGTAATACATCGATCTTACCCTTTTCATTTCTTTCAATAAAATAAAACAAGTGCTGTGGGAGGTATAGCCTTAATTTTAAGGAGAGTTACTTCCAAGATTATTTCATTTAAGTTGATTGTCATATTTCCAACAATCTGGCGATGAAAAGACTGCCTTACACCTCATGAGATAGTTGGCATAAAAGTGTTATGAATTGTTCATGATAAGGATTGATTTATTTTCTTTCATTTGTGAGTAAGACATAGCAGGATAAAACAATAGTGCAGTGTACCTTAGTGCAGGAAGCCTCCCTTCATTAATCCTTTGGCCCCTAAGAGTGACTAGCATCTAACTTCTCCTTACTATAATGATCACTCCTGAGTCAAACATGAAAGTCACGAGAATAGAACAGATGATCACCAACTAGAGCAGCTCTTGACTGTTAAACAAATTCTCCTTGTCAGCCTCTTTAGAAATGTATGGAGAACAGTATGGAGAATATGCATACTGATATTAAGGTGTAAAGACTTACATGTAACTAGCGCTTACTAATCCTTGCCAAATAAAACAAAGTTAAGTAAGTCACCTTTGTGAATATCGTTAAATTATGAGACAACTTTGATATCTTTGCTTCCCCAGCTTGGAAAAAAAAAAGACAAATTTCAATTTCTTACACTCAATTACTGTTAATGTCAGACTAAAAAGTTATGGACATCAGAAAAGGTCAAGGAATGTTATGTTACACT